TGTCTTCCTTGCTTGAGCATAGAACCCATGGGTCCTTCTTGACACCATCTTGTTATTCCCTTAGCCTTCTCAGTGAGAGGCAGAATCAAATAAGTGTACCTTGCGTTAGAGTGTTCCTTGCCAATTTGTTGGTAGCATCTTTGTCAGTGGGAAGTTGTAGTAAACGGTTTACACATACATAGTGTGCATACATATAGATATACACATTGTATTCTATCACCTATGAGAGGTTTTCTCATGGTGTCTGGAGCTTATTTCTACTTGTGGCTCAAGATGTAGCTAGCTGCTTTCAGCATGCACAGTTCAACATTAGATAGGTAGAAGTAACCTGTCCTCATTGGGAATCATTTTGGTCAGCTTCCTTGTTTTGGGGATGAAGGCCTTTCTCAGGCCCTGGAACAGTCACTGCTGACCCAGGACTGGGCATAAGTACCTATCCACCTGGCCCACTTTGCTGTGTGGTGTCACTTGTGACTTATCTTGGCTTCAGAAAATAAATGTCAAGTTAAATAATTAAAAACCAAGGAAGGTCACTTCTCACTAAGTTCAAACAATGCATTTATTGCCACTTTCTTTAAAATTATCAACATAATTAAAAATATTCGAAACTACTTTATAATAAAATAAAATACTTTATACATGTCTTTAAGTCAGAAAGACCAGATTTCAAGAAACATCAGATTGACCCTTGATATTGCAAGAATGCCATTATAGTATGAATTTTTTTTTGTTGTTTTTTGCTGAGGAAGGTCACTTCTCACTAAGTTTAAACAATACATTTGTTGCCAATTTCTTTAAAATTATTGATATAATTAAAAATACTCTAAACTTATATTTTTAAGTCAGAAAGACAAGAAAGCAAATAAGCTTTGACATTTGATGTTTCAAGAATTACATTGTTGTATGAAGACTTTTGGCTTTTTGAGACAGTTTCTCTGTGTAACCCTGACTGTCCTGGAACTTGCTCTTATAAGACCAGGCTGGCCTTGAACTCATAGATCTGCCTGCCTCTGCTTCCTGAGTGCTAGGATTAAAGATGTATACCACCACTGCCTGGCTTATTGTATGAAAATTAGTATTTTAACATTTTAGTAAAAATTTTTAAATAGATTTGTGTTCTTAAACTGATGTTTGTGAGCTACCATTTGTGTTCTGGGAACCAAACCTGAGTCCTCAGCAAGAGCAACAAGTTCTCTTAACCGCTGAGCCATCTCTCCAGCTCTGTGAACATTTAAAATATTTTTTGAGATTATAATATAATTAAAATATATCATTTTCCCTTCTTTTGCCTCCAAATCTTCTTAGGTACTATTCTTTGTTCTCCTTCAAATTCATGACCTCTTTTTTTATTATTATTAATTGTTATATGCATATATTCTATATCCACAAAAAAATTCCCAAAAGATGTATAGGGGACTAGGGAATTTGCTATGAGATTGTTTTCCCAGTAGTGTCAGAAGCTGTAACCACAAGTCTCATCAACCTGACTGCCTAAACATGAGCTGAACGAGGACAGCTCAGACCTGCTGAAGTGGACAGGGGAACCACATGCTTTTGAAAGATGGATTATGTGTTGCTGGAACACAGAAGCCTGTGTTCTAATAGGGAGTGTCCTGTACAGTTGTGTTTCTACGTAGGGACTGTTTACTGTCTGTAAAAAACCACTGGATCTACTGCTCCGCAGATACAAAATTGTTCTTTTGTAGGAACTTAAATTTAAAAGAAAAGAGGGCGGGGGGATGGCAACCTGGTAGTCAATTTTTGAGATGATGCCAGAAAAGCACACTGCATTAGCATTCCATGGTCCAGCATTTTCCACATCATATATTTTTTTTCTTAGCTGTGAAATTTTAGCAGATTGTTATGCAAAACAGTTTTGTGTCTCTGTGTGACTGGGAAGACAGCTGTTAGTCCTAATGAGGAGTGCTAGCATTACAGTATTTCCGTTGATTGAGACCCACGGAGGGAGCAGAATGTTCCAGATCAGGCAGTGGTGTGTGGTGAGAAGGTAGCATACTGTCAGCTGGAAGTACATGCTCGGCTGCTCTCCACGACAAGATAAATGAGTTTTGCTGGAGTTTGGCAGAGTCTGAAGCTTTTCCAGTGAGTGGTTGGAGTTCACTAGCCTCCCTGTGGGACCCATAGTCCAAGGGTGCCTTTAAAAGTACTGCCTCTTTGCCAAGTTTTTCTTTTGATGTCCTACAATACCTGTCAGGATTGTGATTTATTAAGAACCTAATGTCTTCTAGCATTTCATTTAAATAGGGTCAGATGATCTTTTGTTGATGCTTTTCCCCTTTGTATTAATTGAGCAAGATGCTAGCTGAAATTTAACTTGGCCAAAACCTCCTAGAATATACTGCAAACAGAAGTCAATGAATATCTTTACCTCATGCTTTTCAAATCTCTGGCAGTATAAAAAGGTTTTTAAATGTTCCTGTAACCTTTGCTACACCTCATTTAAAGTCAGGCCCTATGGTGTTATTTATTTAAATAAAGAATATATGGGTTTGAGAGATGGCTCAGCAGTTAACAGCACGGTCTCCTCTTCTAGGGGACCTGGTTTCAGTTCCCAGCAGCTCATAGCTGTCATAGTTCTAGGAGATCCAACACCCTCACACAGACATACACACAGACAAAACACCAATGCATATAAAATAAAAATAATCATCAAATAATACAGAGAGGACAATCATGATTTGCAGTTTGTCTATGTGTCCATTCTCCCAGTATCATATGTTTCTGTGTATTATGTGTTGTTTATGCCCTATCCAGACGTAGTGCAGTGTTTCTAACACAGCTGGTTTACAAGTCATTGATTGTCACATGTAGGGACGAGCTACCCACTGATATCAGATGAGTGGAGGGAGGAAGACTGATGTACTTTTCAGCGTCCAGCATACCCACTGTCAGACAGTAATCCCACCCAGTGCCAGTTCTAGTTGAGTAATTGCCATGGGCAAAATTGTGTTGCTGATGCCTGTGCCATGGCAAAGACTGTGTTGCATAAGGCAAGATGTATTCATGTAAAAATGTTTTACAAACCCAGTATTCGTCCTGGTTGTGCTCTGGGGCCTCAGTGTTGTAAGGTCTTGTTGAAAATCTTTTGGTTCTTAGTAGCTACACTGGTGGTGGTGTTTAAAATCCTTGATTAATGTAGTAGAACTTAGGTTTAATTAAACTTAGCTGTGCCTATTCAAGTTAATAGAGTTTTCATAAATTGGACCTAGTAACTGATTAGATTCTTATCAAGCCTAAATAGAACATAAAATCACATCTTAATACAGATTGTGGGACAGGACCAAGTATCATTTAAATTGGAATTTCTGCGTTCCAAGCAGTTAATGTGTAAATTTAGGATACAGAAACAAAGCTTTTTTTTTGTTTTGTTTTTGTTTGTTTGTTTGTTTGTTTTGGTTTTTCGAGACAGGGTTTCTCTGTATAGCCCTGGCTGTCCTGGAACTCACTCTGTAGACCAGGCTGGCCTTGAACTCAGAAATCTGCCTGCCTCTACCTCCCAAGTGCTGGGATTAAAGGCATCTGCCACCACTGCCCAGCCAAAGCTTTTATTTTAATCATTAATTTTGTCTGCAAATTAATGATTTGTGGGGATAAAAAGATATCAGAACCAAGCTTACCTGATTGTCACCTTGTAGGGTAACATATGAGTGGTGAGCCTTCACCTAGAAGGAATGGCCCTGGGTTTTGTGTTGGTGGAGACAGCTGGAGAGGTGAGGATGGAGTCGTGAGAGGCTCCTGCATTGGCATCTTTGGATCTGCTGATTTGGGCATGTGAATCAGGCGATGTTGTGCTTTGTGTATCAATCCTGGTGAGATGAGATATCAAAACATTAACCAGTGTGCACAGCCCATACTGTACCAGGCAGGAAGCGAGACCTGCAAAGTCCTACTACAGAGATGCATGGTAAAATGGAGACTCACCTACATGAAATAAAAACTGTAGCATTCCTGGAAGTATTCCTACATGATGTGCCAGGTCACATTTTAAAGGATGGACTAACAGTCCTTAGTTCATGGGAAGTAGGCTTGTATCATAGTTTCTTACAGAACTTTCCAGTGAAGAGAGGTGATTGTGTTGAGGTGTTTCTCCTTTAGGTGCCATTTTATCATTTTAGTCCTTTCTCAACAAGTGGTTGGTGACTTTGGCTTGAAAGGAAGGGCTGCATCACACGTTAACCTAGTAGGCCATGGCCACTTCTAACGGAGACAACTTTGCTAATGACTGGTGGTGGAGGTGGTGGTAGTGATGGTATGTGCACACACTCTGAGGCTGCAGGTCAACATCTAGTTCTTCATCACTCATTTGTTCTTCACCTTAGGTTTTAAGACCAATTCTTCCACTGAATCTGGAGTTCGCAGATTTCAGAAGACTTGGTGACTAGCAAGTTCCAGGAATCCTCCTCCAGTCTCTACCCCCTCAGCCCTAGGATTACATGCTGACATGACTGGCTTTTTATATGAGATCTGGGGATTGAACTTGGGACCTAGTGCTCCTGTGGCAAACATTTTACTGACAGAGCTATCTCTGGGTGTACCTGATTTGGAAAAAATGTCAGTTGAACTTTGCCACTTGTGAATTACCCAGTGTTGTGTGTTTTAATTGAATTGGAAGTTACAGTTGGACTAGATTTTTATTTAATTCATCCCACCAGACATAAATATATAGACATTTGACAGGCTGTTTAATCTATATTTTTCTAGTAATGTCTTGCTGTGCTGTCTGAGGATGACAGGACAGAGTGGACAGAGTGCATCTCTATTGGCACATAAAGCAGGGTCTTTATTTCACATATTTACAAAGAAGAGTTTAAGAAATAGACACAGGCTTACAGAGTAGAAGACACTGTAAGCTTGCACAGCTCCAACTCCTTGCCCTATTTGCTCCCTCTGGATGCAAAACTTTGTGTAGCATATGCTGTGGGAGGGTGTTTGGTACATCCTGAACTCTAACTACTGGTGTGTCTAACCTTTACCTGTAGCACTGTGACCTCTGCCGTGTTCACTGTGGGAGACAACGTCGTTTCAGGCAGTGATGACCGCACAGTAAAAGTCTGGGATTTAAAAAATATGAGATCTCCAATTGCAACAATTCGTACAGACTCTGCCATTAATAGGTAAGGGTTGATTGTAATTTATTGTCTTGTTTGATCATACAGCTTTTGGGAAGAGCCTGAGGAAATATATTTTATTAATCCTCTTATGTGATTTCAGTATCTGTAACTACTTAAGCTTACTCATTAGTGTGTTAGCGTATTAAGACAAGAGTCAGAAAAGGCCTTTGGTAGCCAGATATTTTAGGGCTTCTTTAACTACTGAGAGGCTCTGTCTGTTGTTGGACTGTGTGACTATATTGTACATGTGTGTGGGGTCACTTGTGATCTGGCAGTTTAGTGTGCCTTAATCTCTTGTCCAGTGTCATAGGCAGACTTCCCCTGTGGTTTACTCATTTACTTTGTCTTGAATGTGAATTATTTTCTGTAAATTCAAAATACTACATGGTCAGTTTCATAAAAACTTGTTTCTATGTCTTCTTTGTAGGATCAATGTATGTGTTGGCCAAAAAATCATAGCCCTCCCCCATGACAACCGGCAAGTACGATTGTTTGATATGTCGGGAGTGAGACTAGCACGGCTTCCCCGCAGCAGCCGGCAGGTACGGGTTACAGTGTGTTTAATAGCAACAGCAAACATTTAGAAGACATAAAAATTAACTTCAGCATGTGTTTTATGAGATGTTGGGATACCTACCTCTATCGCCAACCAAAGAAACATCTTCCTATGGTGGGGTATCACCAGAAATAAAAGCTCTATTTTCCTTATAAATTAGGGAATTATTCCTTGCTACCATCAGATGTGAGATACAGGAGTTTGGTAGGTGCTTTTGCCTGTTCTGTTCAGATCACCCCATAGTGCCTGCATTCATGGCTCCAGTTCAGCTGAGCAGAATCAGAATGTGTCCAAGGAACACCTAGCGCTGGGTCCTTAAAGCAGGCCCTTGGATGCCTTCGTGATGCTCTTGTGAAGTGGGGCCTGAGACCTGGGGCCTCAGTTTACACTATGTG